CCCGGGCCATCCTAGTGGAGCGCAGTAACCTGACCGCTTCTTCTCGATTGATGGGGTACACGCAACTGCCTCGGCTGTCGAAGAGAGGGTGAGGTAAGACTCTGAGACCTGACCAGAGCCTGTTTAGGGGAGCCTTCTCCTTTCCTATTCATAGCAAACACACTGACTGCACAACACTAGAGGTGCACGGGAGAGTCCTCAATGAATGGGAGTGAATGGAACCAAACGGCTAAAATGTAAATTGTTTCCAGTCATTCAAGTAGAAACTTTCATTTTGGGAAAGTAGAAGGATGTGTCTAAAAAAACGCAACAAAAATTTATCAGTCGCTTCCATAGGAAATTTGGGCTGTAGGATGATAGTATTACAACTACTCAGTGCTGATTGGTTGGTGAGCTGACATCATTGGCTTAGGAAACCTACTGATGTCATCTATATTAATAAGGTACTGTTACATGTAACTGGAGCTATATGATATTAAAACTATGACTGCGATTTTTATGCTATTCTGTACTGAGAAAAGGAGGGCATTTGTCTGTGAAAAAAAAAAAAATCAAAATTTCACACGTAAAGAAAGCCATTCAGTGTGGTTTGATGTGAAATTCTCTGCTTTAGAAAAACCTACCACACATGTTCTCAGAATCGTTCACAGTGGTGGTAATAGGAACCAGACATGTAAGGAATTTAATTAAGCTAAAATCTACCTTGCAGAAAGTTATTACTCAAAATGGTAATAAATATGCTGTCTCAAACATTGTTTTTATGGTAGTTTTGAGAGGGTTTTTGCCAAAAATGTATATATTTGTTAGTACATTTGTGGCAGAGAGATACATACAGGATGTTTTTTTAGATTAACCACTACTTTACCATCATCACTATGTAAATGTAATATGTCCTGTATAAAACTCATATAGGTTCTATGGTTATTACAGATAGAATACAATGTCTAGGTAAGAGTTTATAATGAAATGATATATAATGATATTTAATAGTTGACTGCTAATAATGATATAATGGTTACATATGCATCAATGAATGGAACCATGTGAATTGCTAACCATTTAATATTTAGACTCATAAATCTAATTATTAATTAAAAGCTTGTTAATAATGATTTAGTTATTGTTAGCGATGCTCAAACGAAAAAAAACGAAATATTAAGAATTTACATGGTTACATAAAACTTATTAAATATGAAGGAATCTACAGCTTGTTTTAAACGAAATGAGTAGATATTTACCACCTTACTATGTGACACACTAACTTTTTCTTAATCAGTATTACTTAAATAATTCATTCATGAAAAATCCTTTATTTGTATTTCCTAAAATAAACAGTTCATAAGTAAAATGACAGCTTTTATTAATGCACAACTAACAATTATGTATTATTACCTATTAATAAACTATTACACAATGAAAAACTATTTTAGAAGCCTGTTATTATTATGTGTTAACTCTTCTCTCCCATGTACCATTTCAAATCAAACCACTTGGAATGACTGTTTACATCTCAAAAACTAAACTATGGACTGAAATATGAAAAGAATGGCTGAATTCCTCTTTAACATTTAAAAAAACCACTCCTTAGTCTCCTTAGGCCCGTGTTCATTTCATTTGGACTCTCTCGTGAGTGCTCTCTAGGGTCTAATCAGTCAAGAAGAGGTAACTCAAGGGGATTTCTCTCTACTACACATTCTGGGACTTATATTGATACATATAGGGCATTACTTGGGCACATCTGCTGTAATTTTACAATACTGTCACAGATTAGAAATTTAATTACAAAGATTTATTCCCCTAATAGCTCACTGAAGCTACAGTATGGTTTATGGGATTCATATATCATATACACAGAACATACACAGGAGAGTGCTATCTCTGCTGGACAACTTTTCATACATACAACTTCAGGAAAGGTTACAACATACTATAGGCTGAGGTTCTATACAGCACGATAGACTCTATAGTATGCTGGATACTCAAGCAAGAAATACTTGAGGAGCTGTTGGTGAAGTACTGTATTTTTTAAATGTTCTTTAACATTGTCACACATATCAGCACTAATTAAGATACTGGAGATGAAATAATGTTTGAGATGAGAAAGAAGGTTCTCAATGAAGTTTCTAATGACATTATGTAGAAAACAAGCATAACGCATTAGAAATGAGATAGAGGCTATACAGTAGCTCACCATTTAACTACACCAAAATACACACTAGGCATTACTGTGTATATATTTTCACTTCACTGATAAATATATACAGCTGCACAACTGTAATAATGTCATTTGGGTAGAGCATGATGTGAATATGAGGAGGAGGGATTTAGCATGTTTCCAAATGTTTCTTTAGTTACTTGTCTTTTGAAATGTCTCTTCATAAGAGCGCTCATATAATACAGTGTGCTGAACTGTTGGCCACTGCTGCAGAGACAATAGCAAATTGCAAACAACATGCCATTGTCTGAAAGGGCCAGCATCAGTGGTCAAGACAAGCATTTGCGGGGGTTTCTCAAAGTCAGGGTTCTGATGCTAGATGATTTCAAATGATCTATTTCCATCTTCCATGTTAACCCTTAGAAACAGCAGTTATCACAAAAGATAACAAAGTCATGTTGTAATATTTTACAATTCTAGTTAGTTAAGTATTTCTTACTGAAATTCTATGGAAAGTGCAGATCCTAAACTTTGAATTTGTACCACAACTTTCTTTGTAAGTACAAGAAGATTAGGCAAAGTATTTTATTGTTTTTCTTGACATCGAAATACATGAAAAAAATGAGAAGCACAGACTCGAAACTGTTGATTCATAATCAAATACAAAAGTAACTAAATAAGTAATTAGATAATTGACTGTTTACAAAACTCTGACAAGTCCTGCCTCTGTTAGTTACTTTTATCATGTCCACCAAACTTTTAGCACAGGTTAGTTCAATAGCACAAAGGAAAATCTAGAACCACACCGAGCAGTGCATTATAAATAGTATAGCATATGAATGTAGGGCAATTTACTTAAAAAAAGAGCAGTACATTATTACCCCCTTAAAATCTCAGGCTTATTACATACTAAGGCTTAGACTTAGCTTTGATTGATTGAGCTATACTTAGGTTATGGAAATGTGTAATAAAACTCTGGCTATTTAAGGGGTTTAAAGGATAATATATAGTACAGCACACAAATGTAGGGCAATTTACTTAAAAACAAAACCTTGAAAACCATAGTTACATTAATGAAGCCAGGGAAATCTTTTAGCTACTGGCCATTAAATCATGGGTTTATATATCTAATAAGGGGAATATGTGAGTGACCAAAGCTACTCAGATGAGCTTATACTAGCGTTAGCGCTAAAGCTAACACTGGAGGTAGTCAGTGGAGAGTAATAAACTGAAGAGAACATCTCGTCTTGTAAACGAGGTCTTTTAGCAAACTTTAATGAAATGTTACAAATGACCACTCTTGTACAAACGTACACGTGCTAACTGCTAACATAAGCCCTGCAGTCTTGTTTAATCTCTTAAGATATCAGCTTCATTAAGAAAAGCTAACTTAGATTCTGTAAGAGCAAACTGGATAATGTTATAATTATTATTGTTGGCAAAACAATCTGATAAGGATAGCATGTGTAAAGCATTAAATATCATCAGTAACATCATTCCACATCTCTTACCCCAATCATTCTTACAAATTTACTACCACTGCCATTCTCACTGCAGGTTTGCTCTGAGGAGCTCTGTTTTAGGGAAAGGAAGATGCACTTAGAGATGGTTGTGACTGGCTGTGAGGCATGTCAGTCATTACTTTGCAAACAGTCAATTGGATTTAAATAGTATATCAAAATGAAAGTAATAACTTTACACTTCTAAGGGTTAAACCATGACTGAGTATGTGATGAAAATCTGATTTCATTTCACCTCTTGAGGAACCCATATTGGTAAGTAGGGCAGACAGACATGGGGAAAAGATCTACCTGAGCTCCTTCTGCTGATGGTCAACAGGCTGACTGTGTCTGGTTCGAGGTAGGGTGAGAAAATGACTGTAGGCGGATGGAGAGAACAGAGGGCAGAGGAGGAGAGCAAGGTGAGAGAGAGATGGAATTTGGAGGTAGAGATGGGAAAATGGGCCCACCCCATCCAGAAGGTGGGATGGAGAGCCAAAGTGGTCCAACCAGAGAACCAGTGGGTGATAGCAGTCCACTAAAGTCCACTGATCAGCAGTCAAATCCCCAAATCACACAAGTCACTTCAGAGGGAAGGATTTGTACTTCTCCCATACTAAAAATTCTATGCAATATAATGCATTATAATTGTATTATAATGCATATGTATACATGCAAATATGCAAATTACGGTAACAGATGTAGAATATTCATTGTAAAACCCAGTGAAGTTGTTGTTTAAGAAATGAGTGATATACCACATTTTACAAAGGAAGAAAACTCATCATCAACATCAGCACAGTCTTACAACAAACAAAAACACAGTGCAGGTAAACAAAGAATCTTCCCAAAAAAAAAGGAAAAAAAAATAAAAAAGTACAATAATCTCAGGTTCATGCTTTTGTCTCTCTATATAAATCAATCAATCAATAAATAAATTAATAAATAGTGCACTATGATCACATGTACATTATTACAAAATAACATTTACAGAATCCCAGTAGTATTACTGTATTTGCTCTGTTAGGGGTCAAAGCAGTCTTTGGCTTTTTTTAAAGGCTGATTTGTTGAGGAAGATCAGAGAAGGTTAAGTAGGTTTTGGCACTCATCAGAAATTTAATAAGGAACAGGGCATTTTTCAAAGAACTGCTTTAACCAAAAATGCTACTGCAACAGTGAATGAAAGCTATTCAGAACTCATGCTAGAAGGTCTTGCATGACGTCTGTCTAACGTTAACTGCTTCATTCTTTTTGAGAGATGAGAGCATTTTGGGATGAACAGTTCTTTATAGTAAAGAGCACAGCAAATAAAGAGAAAGATGAAGGGGAGAAGAAAATAACCATACCTCTGAGGAGGGGGAACACTAGGTGACCGTGAGCGCGCTCGGTTTATGTCCGCCGACCGCGAGCAGTGATTGGACGACAAGACCTGCTCTGGCACGGAAAGAGTGGAGCTCTGAAGGTCCCGTCCATTTTGTCTGTAATCTGCAGGGAACATATGCGGTAATATGGTCAGTGACAACATCAGTGACATCAACTTTAAAATAATGAAAGGGATAGTTTGACCAAAGACAGGATGAAAACTGAATAGAACCTGTGATAGCTGACCCGTCAAATCAACTGGTTTAACTATATTACATGATTAAAGTTACTTTCAAACATTTAGCAAACCTCATTTTCTTCATATTGTAACATTTTGTGGTATAGTCCTAGAAATATTTAACTTTTTTATTCCCATAAAGCCTGACTCCTACATCTCCCAGAGTTTGAGCTGGTGGGGGCGTGGCAATATCAGCACTATACACATAAGGCAACGCCTCCTCATCTACCATCAGTCAGTTAGCATTGCAGCTTCAGTAAGGATCTGTATTTTCTATGGAATTCAAAACACATTACTAGGGATATTTTACATTTTGGTGGTGTTTAATTGTTAACTTACAGACCCAAAATCACAGACATGACCCATGAAAACATCGTAACGCAGCCTAACGTAACAGATAAGACAGTAACATAATGTAGTCTACTTACCTACATTTACCATACATTATTAGCCAAAGTTAACCAATATATCTGGCCTGGCCTGGGCTAGCTTGAAGTTCATAAGCATAGTTTGAACAACAATTAATGTAATGTCAGTATCTCATAGTATTTAAGCTTTTTTATCATGGGACTTTCTACATATGTCAACCGTTATCTACCAAACACATTAAAAGACTTAAGCTTGAGGCTGCACTCAGCAGAAGCAACATTAAGTTTATGAAGAGTCAATTGTTGCCGACCTCTGCACTGTCATGTGGCTAAACGTGCTTGTTGTGATAGTTCTAAACTACAACTAGGCTGATTTATTCTCTGATATATGTCTTTTTCAAAGGCTCTGGGGCTGTAAGGCTACTGGAAAAAGTAGCACTCTTGTCCCCTCACAAGTATAAACTGAAAATCATCCTTTATATTAATGGAAAAACTCACCTGATTAAGTATCAATTGTTTATCGGAAGTAATTATTTTAACCAAAAGCACTGGTCGAATATAAATGTAATTGTCAGTTGCCTGTTAATCGTTTAATTATCGTCATCCCTAGTCTTTACTCTGAATCAGTCAATTTGCCAATACGCATTTATGTGTCGCCCTGAGAAACTTTTATGTGTGCTGAAAAACATTATACCTGAAAATTTCCTAAAAGGATTCCTTAAAATTTTGACTAACATCAAGGAACATCGCAGACACTCATCAGAAACAGAAACCTGAGCTGAGTTAGGCTGTCAGTAATTTCTCAGTTACCACTGTTTTGGAGCTCTTAAAAGAGTGCTCTCTTCGCAACGTTATAAGATGTTTGTCTCATCTCAGCAAAGCTACCTGAATTATACTTAGGTACACTCAATTTTGTATTCAGAAGATGCTTCCATAGACTCCACTGTGCATTTCCCTCTTGTACTGCAGCTGCTGCTGTGTCTCTTTTATCACTTCCAACATGAACTTCATTAATTAATGTGAATTTAACATGTTGAGAGAGACTACAAGACTACAAAAAAAGACTACAAGTATGAGCTTGAATGGGTTGAGCGATTTAATGGGGAGTGTATAGACTGTCTATGTCATGTTGACATGATGATTCTTGGGAGCCCTTTAACTCTTTGCTGCATGACTGAAAATGTCACTGGTCTGTTTTTTCCTTGAGTTTTTTTTTTTTCAAACCCCTGGCATGACGCAGCACTTTCTGGCATTAAAAAATTAGCCAAACGTGACTGTCCCTTTTTAATTTTAATTTGTGTGACATCGATATTTAGGAGGCACAGTTATCGCCAACAAATCATGTTGAACCCTAAACTTTCAATCCATACCACATTTGTGTTCGTAAGCAAACAATGAGAAATTTTATGATTTGATTTTCATGAAAAATGACTGCTGTGGGCAGTCTTGTTTTCCAGAGAGCAGAACGTTCTTTACTTTTTGTCATACGTAAATATAATATATAACATAACTATGCAATTACTTGCACAAGTATGTAATTAGTCTGAAATAGTACAGCACATGACAGCAGCAACTCTAGACCTCTAAGGATTAAGAGGCTTTTTGTTAACAAACTCCTACATTAGCGATTCCATAAAGGGTCAGACTTCGATGTAAATCACTGAACTGGCCTTTCGCCTTCAATCAGAAAACAGCTTTTGCAACCCAAACCATAATAATGACTGTGAGAGCGATGTGCGCACTCAGATGGAAGGAGTTCATTATCCAGCCATCAGCCACGCTGCACTGCCATGGCTAAGGTCAATGCCTAGCATGATTGAAGTTGACTGCTATCCAATGGAGTGCATCACACGTTAAATAGGCAAGGATATAACCGTGGATTTAAAAAGGAATTTTGGAAGGGAGATTTTGCCTGCTTGGGCAGTTTTCACTTTGTCTTGCTTCGTTTTCAGTTTCGTGTGAACATGGCTGACTTAATCTATTCAAGTCAAGTGATAAATTCATACTGAAACAGCAAATATGCATCGATTCTGAAATGCCAAATCTAAGGGTTTAATACTAGGAGTTAAAATTAAGATGCAGATAAAAACACAAAGAATAACAGGCATACAATGCTAGTTTGAAATCATTATGATGCCACTAAAGTCACTCAGACCACTGAGTGCTAATGGTAGTGTGTTCAGCACACAAATATAAACCACCCTGTTTTTTCCAAGGCGTCAACAGTTTGGAAACAACATTGTTCAACTGATGTGGTATTATGGAGTTCTCAGCACTGATATTATGATTATGTGACTAAAATGAACCTGTTTCTAACTTACTGGCTTAATTAAGTCAATCAACTTACTTTTTGTTTTAAGTATTCCTTGCTTGGCATCAAAATTATACAAAAATACCTTTTCTGATGAAACACTAAAGCCTTTAAGCTAGCTAAGCTATGAACTTTTCCAAACAATGATGCCACCAATCTGACATCAAGAACCATCCTGATCTTAATAACTAGATGTTTGGAGCAGCTGCCTCCTGTTTTTAAGAGACTGTTGTTAAAGACGATATAGTTTATTCAGAAAACTTGTGAAATAGTTCACTTCTATGCAACAATTTACCACACAATTCATTCTAGTCATGTTTTTAAAAATGTGTCTCAAACTACTTTAAACATGATTAGCTAGATAGCTAGGTGAGAACATGTGGCAAAAGTCAGTTGGCAAAACAGCCGACTAAACATCAAAGTTATGCGAGGCTGTCAAATTCAGTGAAACCCATGTACATGCAGGCCTACCTGCATGAACAATTGCTTGATTTAACTATTGTGATAACTGTATCTGGCTGTGCAAACCTTGACAGACAACTACAGTATTGTGCAAAACTCAACAAAGCAATTTGATTAAAACTACCTTGGCAATAAGTGTTTTTTAGCCAGTAAAAACTCAATACAACTTAACCCTGCATTCACACCAGCAGCGACGCAACGCGATAAAGTGGTGGGAAGTCATTCATTTTCAAAGAGAACTGGCGATGTGAAGTGGGTGGAGTCAGCAATGTGACAAAGTTGAGAGGAGTTTAACTTTATGCAAATAAGGAGCGAAGAGATGTGGCGATTACCAAGAGAAACTGAGCACTGAGCAGTGTAGTACATGCTTTATCTCCACCACTGTGAAACAGTATACGCTCCATTTTGGTTCCTACATATTTGTTCCAACTACAGGCAGAATAATGGCAGCAGTGCATGTGTCACAAATAGACAGTACGACCATATACTGTTTTCCTTACAAACTGACTGCCCAGACACGGGGATAAAATAAAAATAAGCATTCAAGCGATTTCCTACCAGGAATTTTTTTTTCGGGAATGCATCTGATTCGTGCTTGGCGTCAGTGAAACCATGGCAACCAATGGTCAGTTTGTATTCAGAAACACCTACAGGCGATGAGCAATCAGCAATTTGGGCGACATGAGGCAAAAAGTCGCTGCTGGTGTGAACGCAGGGTAAGAATAAAAGCAAACAGACCTTAACACAGAAAAAAGTAACAAGATTGCAAGAAATCAAGTACTGGAAGTACAAATAATCCAGGCCTTTTCTGAGGAGAGATTTGGAACACAATGACATAAGCAAAAACACAATTTAACATAAAAAAATCTTGTGACTGCGACATGCCTTGCAATATATTAACCTAATGATCCCTTAATATGTCATAAAATGCACTTGTACTATTGTTCGTGCCTTAACTCATCCAAAAAGGCTGTAGCAAATACGACACTGATAAACAAACTGTATACACTGTGCAGCCCTACAAAATTCTGATTCTGGTGCTGTAATGTCCTCATGAAGCTAAGAGACTGTACTGAAACAACACTGTACCTACAAATCAATATTAAAAGTCTTTTCATTGTATCGCACTAGTTGGCTCTAAAAGCTCTCTCTCTTTTCACCCACACACAACCCCTCCCCCGTTCTGAATGACCTCAGACTGCCTCAGTGCAGTGCAGCAGACCTGGCCGAATCCAGCAGAGCTGAAAACAACCACAGCAACTCAGAGAGGAAAAAAGCAGCAATCTATAATTCCTCTGAATGGTAATCATCTCTTGCAGGAGGAAGCGCCGAATCAGCACTTTTACACAGGAGGCTGGAGAGAGAGCCAGCAACACAGGGGGGAGGGGGCAGAGAGAGAGAGAAAGGAGAGAGAGAGAGAGAGAGAGAGAGAGAGAGAGACAGACATACAGAAAGATAGAACAGAGAAAGAGAGAGGGCAGAGAGAAATGGAGAGAGAAAAACAGAGAGGGCAAGGAGAGAAAGATGGGCAGAGAGAGAGAAAAAGAGAGAACAGAAACAGAGAAAAAATGAGGCAGGGAAGGAAAAGTGGGCAGGCAGAGAGGGAGGAATAGAAAAAGACAGAGAACGGGGGTAGAGAGAGGGAGAATAAAGAGACACTGGGGCAGAGAGAGAAAGACAGGGGCAGAGACAATGAGAGAAAAGAGTGAGAAAGCAAAAAAGGAGAGAAAGAAAATGAGAGAGGAGAAGAAGAGCGGAGAGGGAGAAAGTAGAGGACAAGAAGAGAGAGAGAGATGGGGAGAGAGACAGCGAGAGAAAGAGAGAAGGGAAGACTCAGAGAAAGCAGAACGGGAGAGATGGATAGAGAGAGAGCGAGAGAGAGAGAGAAAGAGAGACCACAAGAGAGGGGACATCCCTCCCTTAAGAAACTAGTAAGGATTGGATCAGAATTTTCAGAAGCTGTACGCGTGAGGGGAGTTTTCCTCGTTCACCTCTCTGACAGTAACTCCTGCTCTGAAGATGTTTGTGGCCAGACGAAAAAATTGAGGCCTATAAAAGATCCAGCGCTGTAAAAAGACAAACTGCAACACAACACTAAACACTGGAAACCTCCCTATGGCACAAATCATCAGCTGAACGTGACTGAATGAGTTAAACCCGTTTATCGCCCTGAGCAGAAAGTGCCCTATCCATACTCAAATATGCTCTTTCACAAAAAGTGTTGCGAGGTTATGACCAAAAAAACCCCATTCAATCTAAAGAGACGTTAGGCTTGAAAGATCGTGTGTTAAGAGGTAGTTAAGTTTGAGAAACGGTGTGCAATACACTGATGTCTGATCGTGGCCCAAAGACATCAGCAGCTGGCCAAAGTATCATGGGATTGGGGGGTGTGGTTGCAGGAAAGCAAGAGACAAAAAAAAACCCAGAAAGAACAAAAAAGAGCTGCTCTGGTGCACCACCAACACCAGATGTGCACCACAACAATGCAACAATCCACATTTATGTCTTGCAAGGGAAGGCGTTTTGTGTGCATGGAAGGCTGCAGCACGGCTTTATCTGTTCAGCATAGAAAAAAAAAGGAGACAAATATGATTACTTTTTGTCCATCCAAAAATTGTGGAGCTAAAAAAGCTGAAACTGAGTCTTATAGTCGGATGCAGATCATTTATATCTATAAAATGGACAAAAATACACTGCAAAGGTAAAATAACAGCAGCAGCTGACTTGACACCTAAATTTGTCTGCACCTTTCTTCACTGAACTTGTCTTAGCTGATCATGTACATCTGGTGAAAAGAGAAAATTGTGTGATTTTTGAATACACAATGAACAAAGCGGCAGAGAAAAAAGGTAAAGTCTGCATAGGAGCTAATACACAGTGGTGATAGCTGACATGAGCCCTCATAGTCTGTATGTGAATGTTAATAATCATCAGCTGTGCTGTATTATGATATGTATGCTGTTACCTGACACGACTCCAACACCGTCCTCACAGTCATAGTCGGAGATCTCACTGTCACTAATCCTATGAGATCCTGCAGGGGGAAAGGAAAAGAGAAAACAGAGGGGTTATTACAATCTAGGGACACTGCCTGGAGCCCTAAGATTACATTGTATACCATTAATGTTTGTTACTGTTTATTACTGTTTGTAGGCCTGATCTAGACCTGTTAGCGATTTAGACTAAATTCAACTTCAACTGTGTGGGTGAACACTAGTGTTCCACAGTTTATAATAACTTGCCCTATTAATAATTTGTTCTTTTATATATAATAACCTGGTCTGTTCCAAACTGCCTTTGGAAGGAACGTGAGTACAAGAACTGTTTGTCTGGAGTCTCATGGTTTAGGTGTCCAGTACAACCACAGTGTACACAAGCCTAAGATCAGGTGCAATGCCAAGTGCTGGCTGAACAAGTACAAAGCACACCACCACTAGACTCTGGAGCAGTGGATACACCATCTCTGGAGTGATGAATCATGCCTCGTCACCTGGGAGTCTGACAGACGAAACAGGGTTTGGTAGATGCAGGTCAACGCTACCTGCTCCAAAGTGCCAAAAGCAAGGTTTGGTGGAGGGGGGAACAATGGTCTAAGACCCATGGTTTAGGCCCCTTAGTTCTAGTGAATGCAATACTCGGGTTTGTATATTATTTAAAAGGCTGATTTCAAACGTCTACATGGTAGTGTACATATGAGGCTTGTTTAGTGGCTCCAAAAAGTATTTGAACACTTTAACCATTGGTAAACTTTAATAAAGGTCTCTAAGTTAATTCATAGAATGTTATAAAAATGCTGTTGGTTTTAGAGAAAAAAGACTTTTGTCACATCATTAAACTGATGGTAGACTTTGTGGAGATGGAGAGGTGGAAACATCAAAGTTTTTCTTACAATGGGATCGATGAGCTTGTGTCATTGATGAAATAATGCACTCAGAAATGTACAACGGTATTTTGGATGTAACCCTGCAGAAGTCTGCAAAGAAACTGCTCAAACATTAAAAATTTTATAACAACCCAGCTGCTTTATGAAAGGATACAAAGAAAGAATTATACTCTAAGAATGGTCTGTTTAAAATCAATTGACTTCATGTTACTCGTTACATTTTTTAAATATGGCACAAATGTCCAAATACTGTTTCGGCCACTGTATCTTGGTCTTTATCTGATTTGTCATAGTCAGTTCTTCAGAATAATCATAGTCAATTCTTCACAATTGAGGAGCACTGTTTGTTGTAATAAATTTGTCATGGTGTTGATGCAGGTGTTGAAGTCATCCTCGACTGAAAGCCACTGTAAATTTCAAACCATTCACAGAGAATCAAACATGTCAAATCCGACATAGCCCTTCCTCACCAACCTGCTTTCAGCTCCACAAACCCTGAAACAAGCTATTCAAGCGTTGCACAAAGACAGAAAATAAATTCTTGTTGTTTTTTTCCTTTAATCCATCCATTTCAGTCTTGGGAAGTAAACAGAGTGGAGTATTTCTGCCTTGGTCTACAGCGCTGACGGTTTTCAAAGTTGACACTTTGAACGGGCAGCTCAATCAGTCAAAGGGCCCGGCGCAGATTGAGTGGGAAGGTTACTAGCCGTGCAGAAGCTCCACTTAGACGCTTCTTAGATGCTGCGGCCCCTTTCGGACCCCCAAGCCTCCGCATTCACCGCTCAGTCAACTTAACCTGAACAGACACTGCAGCTTTTACAGGAATGACAGGCGAACAACTCTCCTCTCACGTCCTCTCTCTCTCCCTCTCTCTCCCTCTCTTGATTTCTCAGATTCACAGAAACTGCTTTAGCACTCCCGTTTTTAGACCAGTCAGTTCTCTCATTTTCTCACACACAGATATGCACACAGACACTTTTTCCTCTCTCCTAAGAAGTGGAATAGTCAGAAAAGCTAAAGCCAGATGTATGTGCGTGAGAAGGCCCAGCGCAAAATGTGCACTGAAAGATATAGTGAACTTAATTGACCTGATTCAAATGCGTAAAGTGGCTGCACAAAATTTAAATATACAGTCCTGTGCAAAAGACAGAGATGACCTTTCACTCATTTAATATCCAAAATGGCCAATAAGTACAAATTAATCATTTTCAGCAGATAACTCTGAGTAGATTAGATATGAGATCATCTACTTCTATAAGGAAAACAGTAAAAAACAGATGTTTCCAAAACTAAAGTTCAAAAAATAATTACAAAAAAACAGAAAATGGGACTCCTAACAACCATGCAAGATCTGGCAGACCACCAAAATTGTCACCATCAGATAAACAGCACTTAATGCGTCCATCATTAAGAGAGAAGAAAATCAAGCGTCACTCGTTTCAGATGTGAAAAAAATGCATAGGTGTTTATTTCTATCCTTCCACTGTGAGAAGACAACTCAACACTACGGATCTGAAAGGATGTGTAGCTGTCAGTAAGCCCTTGCTGAGACAGGGAAATTAAAAAACAGAAGAAAATGTGCACTAAAACACTGAAACTAGACATCTGAGATGTGCGTCCAGATGAGAATAAATTTGTAATTGGGATTATTTGGATCATGAGAAGCAGAAAATGCAAACAACTTCTAAGACTGAACTTTAAAGGTGTGGAAAACTACTCCTGCTCCCACTGCAGATTTCTTCAAAAACTCCTGAAAAGCATGGAAGCAGTGACAAAGGCAAAGGGTGGACTCACTAAATACTAAAAATGTGATATTATACTCATTTGTTGAACTCTGCTTTCTTTCCTGTTGCTGAAAAATAAATAACTAAATGGCTTTGACTAGAAATGAAATATATGAAAGAGTGGTCTCTGACTTTGCACATCAACACAACTGCGGTCTTTCGGTTTACTTCTTCTTGCTAGTTAATCAAGCAGCTGAGCTTTTGACTTTCTACTAACTCTGAAAAGAATATGCAAGTTAAATGACTAAGGCTCTGTTCACACACAATCAGATCATAGGCATACAGCACTAAGTACAGGTGTGAACAGGACCCAGTGCATCTAGTAAATGCACTGTGATCTGATCACTCACACCTTCAGGCTCAGCGGGACACATATGAGCACATAACATATATATTGTGAACACTAAAGTGTCTCGATGTATCCTCGACAGCAGTGAATGGCTGCCCTTTGTCATCACAGCAGATATGAGGGCAGCTCTGTAGCTTCTTGTTTTGTCTCTTAAATTATGCTGGCAGTTTATGTGGTCTAAATGTCTGTAACAGCCGGTATATGTACACAAACAAGGAGACATGGCACATTTTTGTCTAAAAAAAGAAACACAGCGAGATACTGGTGTAGTAAACGTGTGCAGTATATGTCCTCCAGTTTGGAAAAATCTGATCATAAGTGGTTACTGAAGACATGAGACCCATGTAAATGCGAGGTGTCACGGTTATGCCTTGCGCTGTTCTCTTGTGATCAGATCACTTGAAACTGATGTTAATACCAGGTGTGAACAGGGTCTAAGGGAGAGCGGTGTTAAAGGAGAATTCCACCAGTTTTTTAAAGGTTCTGTGTATTTAAGTGATTAAGATGTAAAGTCATTCAGAGTGATTTGATGTTAAATGGTTCATTCTAGAGAAACAGAGAACTATTCACAGTGGTGGTGATAGGAACCAGACATCTGAAGTGTTTAATGGCTGTGTCTGTGAGTGGCCTCTTAGAAATTAAGTTCCACACGATGAAATGCTTAAAAATATGCTGACTGATTCCTGAGAAATTGTTTAACCATAGTTTTAAAAAGGTTCTGGCCTAAAACTTACATTTTTTGAAACATATTCATGGCAAAGAGGTACACGCAGGATGTTGTAGGGCAAAATAGTACCCAAAAACCTGTTTCCTATCACCACCATTATAAAGAAAACTGAAACTGGACACCAGAGACGTGTGTCCAGATGATTCCCCACTTTCATTAAAAGCTCTGAATGACTTTGTTTATGATTCAGCAACTGAATTATGTAGAATCTTTGAAAAATCTGAGAAATTCTCCTATGATAAATGAAGTTTCCCCAAACGATCTACAGGGGTGTAATTCTACGATGCCTCAACATACAGAATTTGAGAAACAATAACTATGTTTACATGCATACAACAGCCCAAATACGTGTTAAGCTGGACTAAGAAACTGCATATAAAAGAGCTGTATAACAGACTAGCCCATTTATATGAATGCTGACATAGACTGACTTTCTAATTTTACACGTTGCCGTTTAGCTGTAGGTTTGTTCGTGACGTCTCTGCTTCTACACAAAGGTTCAGCCCTTTCGCCCTTTGTCACTCAAGTTAGTTTCGGTGTCAAATAGTTATCATCATGTGTGCACAAAACACAGCAGTTGAAAATTTCATCAGTACTAGGCGTTCATCTGAATCGATATCGACTAGAGTCACATTTTAATTGTACTAACATTAGGTTAACTAATACCTTAGCTGGACTGCGACAAGCAGCCTGTGCTGTCAGAGTAGCAGTCTTAGACAGACTAATATTAGATCAATGTTGTGCAAGTAAACATTGTTATTAACAGTGAAAGTCACTGCCATAAGGCTCTTTAGTCAAACTCCAGAGGTGTTCTAAGAGTTGTAATAGTGTCGTACTGTTGTTACTCGATCAGAACGTCTGCATCTAGCCACTATGACCGCACCAACCGTTAGTGACAACACGACAACAAGCTTTTTAGGCTATACAGAGAACTGCACACAAAACTGGCTGATGCCACTTTTTGTTTTTGACCACCTGTAAGAACTCAAGAATAAGAACTCATTAAGGAAAACAAAAACAACAACTACACAGCAACCAAAAAAAACAGAAGCACACTCAAACAAAACAACACTGCACACACAAAAATACAGGACAAAAAAACACATACATAACAACCAGAAAATGTGTCAAGGGTTCAGTTCAGTATATGTGACAGCACTGATATGGACAGCCAAACACAGCAAGTTAATAACACAAACAAACATTTCGGGCAGTCGTTTGTTAGCTTGTCAGTGGGGTATTCTGTTATGTAAAAGTTAGCCACAATGGAGCTCTGACAGAACTGCAGCAAAGAGAGAAAAGCACAACACTGCTGAGGAAAATCAGAGGGCACTGTGGGAAAGCATGGGAGATGATACCATGTATTCTTTTTTAATCTTTGTGTCTTTGTTTTTTTTTCCACAGAAGCAAGAGGAAGGAGTGGTGGGAATATCTGACTGCAGAACACAAGGAGGGAATTCATGGACAACCCCGCAGGAAGCGGAGTGGACATGCAGTGGTCTTTACCTGAATTGTACGAAATCGGGCCTTGCGCTGCAAAGACAACGAGGTCAAGAGAAAAATGATGCAAAACCAATCGGCCAACTATTTCAAACTGCTTCACTCTGATTTAAAAAGAGACCAGGTCTGTCATGATGACGATGACACTGAGCATTTATGTGAGAAATAATAAATAAATTAAAAGTTACTGTTGAATTTACAGCATAAAAAACAGAGGTGGTCTCCTCATGAAGTGGAGGGAGCGTTACCATTAATAAGCTGTGTGTGAATTAGTTGTTGCACCATCCCTGTTGTGATAAACAGGACTCAACGATTCAATTCCATTCTGATTCTTTAGGAAACGATTCAGTGCATTACTGAAAATCTCATATATGCTACCGTTCAATTTAATTCAGTACAATTTGCGATCAAAAAAAAAACATTAAGTACACACACTACAGCTCAAAAGTTTAGAATCACTTGTCATATTAATAGTTGTTATTCAATAACTTGTACAGTGTAAATTTAAAACCAATGGTTTATTAACCATTAAAATAAACTTTAATATTTTGAGAGCAACAAGAAGTTATGACATAGTAGAAATGGCAAATAAAAAAAAACTTTGATTATGTATTTATAGTAATTTCTTGTCACAAAATTACAATGAATTGCTATTTGATCAGCAAGATTTAGTCACTGCATTTCTGAATCTGACATTTTCTAGATATTAATTCTACTATAGATTAATTCTCAATGCTAAGCAGCTTTCTAAATTATAGTGGAATCTATTCGTCACTGTAAATGCCAGCATTTTTATAGCTTACAAATTTACAAGCATATCTTACATGTTCATGCAACAAATTTGGTTTTATATTAATAATAATAGTGATTCCAAAATCGAAAGTGTGAATGTTAGAGGAACTACTTGCACACTAGTGGAATACAGACAATAAAAACAATTCACTAAAATTGCAACCATCAAATATTATAATATTACTTTGCACTAATACATACATTTTATTTATCTATTTAGGCTTGATAAAACTTAACTGAAATAATGCAAGATTCTGTCCAATCTGGTAACCCTGATCAGATTGCTGGCTCTGTTTGAACAGCACTACAAGCTGCATGAAAGCAATAAATAAATATGAAAACAACTTTTTGGTCATAAGCTTAGCTCTGCAACATCAACTTTATTGCGTGGTACAGGCTAAATAACTTTCCTATGGCTAGCTAACCAGCATGTCCTCATTTATTCTCTGTATTACATTAAACAGAGAGAATGCTAGACTGCAATATCTTGCCAAGTAAAAATTATCTTAAATTTAGTTGATATATCTGATACTTTAAATTTTGAGATAGTTCTAGGAATATTATAAGATTGTTTAACTTATTTCTAAACTTTTTTTCTTGTTTTAAGTAATTTTATCAAGTAAAATTATTTCACTATATTGACAAATTATTTAGCTTGTTTCAAGAATATTTCTTAAAACAAGCTAAATTATCTGCTAATATAGTGAGACAACTTGACCTGATAAAATTGCTTAAAACAAAACGTTCAAAAATAAGTTAAATAATCTTGTACTAAGCTCAACATGAGAAATAATATATATTGAAAAGTTTTTACATGACAAGATACAATATTTTTGCAGTGTGGCTAGCAACCCGGAGCAGTAGAAAACTCTGTACTGCACCTGGAGTTAAAACTGTGCCTGTTGGCTCAACTTGCGAGAATACTGCAACTAGTGCCAGTATTACCAAATCTGGTCTGGAGAGCTGGACACTGCATGCTGCTGAATGTAAACAGACCTTTGACTGCCCACAAAGTGAGTAAGCTCATGAAAGTGGTAAACGTGTCAGTTATTTAAATTGCTTTCCCGTTTTCACGTATTTTAATTATCATATTTATTGAAGGTTATTGAATAAATCTTGCAGCACTACAATACACCAAACTTCTTTCTTTTTGGAAAACAGCCCAAAAATTTATGTAGGCCTAAAAAATATGTGCATACTTTCCTGAAAATTATCCTGAGCGGTTATAACTGATTCTAACAAGTCAATGGAGTTGAATCGCCACCTTCAGAACAATGCATGTGTTTTACACCCTCACACTGAAGCAGGTGTAAAGTGAGTGTGAGGTAAGATTAAACGAGATAAGAGAAAATCTTCATACTCTGCAGTCTGCGTGCAGTGCTGTCTCCATGCAGTGTTCTTCTCTGCAGGTAGGGGGAGCTCTTGGGCAGGGGCACTGAGGAGACGTCATGTGTCTGCAGCTTGTACCAGTGAGGCTCATCGTCCATCAACGCTGTCTCCAGTTCGATCAGAATCTAAAAGAGGATACATGCATACTACAATTACACAACCACAACCAGTTCCGGTTCCTTGTTTTCTTAATATACACTGTCTAATGCTGCTGACACACCAGTCCTGATATAAGACAGAGGTAGAACATATCTGAGTGATTGTACTTCCTACCTATATTTAAGTATTATTTTGGAAAATCTGTAATTAACCTGAAAGTTACTACAATGTAATGCTTGTACTCAACTACATTTCCAAGAGCATAAAAAAACATACTTTCTGCTCCTCACATTTCCATTTAGACCTTTAAAGTCCTCAATACAGACTTTAAAGGCCTCTCTTGCCAGGCAAGTTCATTTCTTTTATTCATTTATTTTTTTAATTCAAACTAACGTAAAATTATACTTCCCACAACTATACTAATTCATCGATGTGCAAGGACCAATATCGTCCATTAGTTGCCACACAGAACTTACTGAAATGAGGCAGATACTAAAATAAAGAACATTAGCCAGTCTGGGTGTGATCAGCTTGGCATGTTCTGATTTTATTTTAATATTTGTTTTACTTTTATAGATTCAGTATTGGAAAAAGAAATGGGTATTGAGCCATCTCTCCTGAACTTTCAGTACCTCTTGACTTTCACTCAAGTCTTATTTTTTAGCTCCATACGTCCACTTTTAACTGAGTACCATACTGACACCGTACCAGTAGTTTCACTAAAATACAGTTTCCATGTACATTTTCCCATCTTGCTATGAGACATGAGAAAGGAACTTATGAAAACAACTAAAGAACTCCTAATTGGTGCAATAACAACTTCAGAGGGAAGCCCTGAGTTGTTTATTCAAGCTCGATCTGTGTCTATTATCAGTTGTTCTCTTCTCTCTTTGGTAACACAATTTATCTAATTGTTTAACAGGTGAGGTTCCAAGCACTATTACATGCTTAATAAGTTCATCATGAGGCAAACTACAATGGTATGTAGATGTGTCGATTGCCTCCAGGTACAATGGCTTATTACATTTTTCAGCGACCTATCAGGCCCTTTAGGGGTTGAATCCAGTTAATTAGTGGTCCTCCAAACCTGAAAGAATGCTGCTATAAGAACATTTTTCATTTCTCGCCAATCCTGGTGAAGCTCAAGTCATCGTTGGGATAAAAACATTCTGAAGAATACCAAGAACATAATGAAGTTTATGGTGCTGGATTTAACCACACATGGTTTAAAACATCATCAAAGACTGCTTAATGCATTGTTAGCATTTAGTACAGGACTTCATGACTCCAGTCCTGGAGAACCCGAAGTGCTGAAATGAACCAGCCCTTCATGAGTGGCTAAACCATGCAGCCATCACTCACCTCTCCCAGGAACTCACTCTCCTCCTCTCGGACACGCGCCTGGTCCCACAGCGTGATCTCAAGCATGCGCTCCCGAAACTCCCGCCGGTGCACGGGAGAGTACATAAAAGTCTGATTCCATTTGGGCTCCAGTGATTTCTTTACTGTTTTTGTTCTTCTCTTGCTTTTGTCGCTGGAGGAACAATAATTCAGACTGTTTTTATTTACCATCTTGGCAGAATGAAAGCTGGGACACACAGAATGACAAATGAGCTAAAATCGTTCAAGCACTAGACCACAGGTGTAGGGGAAAAGCCCTCAATAAGCTCACCTAAATCTAAATAAATCTATTGCTCATATTGACTTTTTCAGTTGTTAGTGATATATTCTTTAATGAAACTCTGTTTTAACATAAACAAGCACATTTTATATGCTTTAATAAAAAATAATAAAACAAAGAACAGAAAAGATAAATAGTCTGGACTCAGCTTAAAGGGGCTCCTTGTACCTTTTAAATGGAAATTCTACCAATTTTTAGTTCGCCATGTTTAAATCATTAAGATGTAAAGCAGATCATTTAGAGTGGCTTGATGTGAAATGCTGTTCTAGAGAAATCAGTCGCAGTATTTCTAAATATGTAGTCTGATGCCTGATACATTATTCCACATATTCAGGAAAAAAGGGAACTCCCCTCTAAGTTCATCTGTGTTCTGAATAAGCATAGTCAGCATTTTATTTCAGAGAAAAATATCGATTGAATAATTAATAAGTTTAAGAACAACAGAAACACTCTTTTAAAAATGCTTAACATTTCATGCATTTAAGCTTGGGCTGTAGTCTGCTAACAGCAGGATTTCTATTTAATTTAGACTATTTCAGTCTACTAATCGCGTTTGTATTTTATTATTTATTTGTATTATCTTTATTTCATTATTTACATAATGACTTATTTGTTCATTTACACAAAGCTGTAGATATTTCTGTCAATGAAAGTTTGGACCATGTAGCTTATGTAAGTTTATATGTCATTCTATTAAACTGAACGTTCTGTCCTTGTGCATCAGTCTTGCTCTGAGTGCTTAAAAGCAAAGCAGGTACAACAGAAAGAAAATGAAGTAAAATGACAAAATCCTCATTGTGGGTGTGAAATTTGTAAAGGTGTTTCTAAGAAGGTGGAACATAAACTGCTAACCATGTTTGCTAACAACTGTTGTCATGGGAAATTGTAGTCAACAATTTAACAACTTCAAAAGTGTCATAAAAACCTCTTAGGTCTGCCATCTAAATGCTAATTTTAAAAAGAAAATTACAGTTGTATTTGCTTTTAAGTAACCGCCCAAACTGCCATATGACTTCTGACTTTAGCCCCTAGCTCAGCAGAGCTATCTGAAATTGGGAGAAACACATCTGAATCACAGCCATAAAGGTAATTACTTCTGTTCATTAATCTCTATAAGTTGTGAATATTACTAACATTTACCTTTCAGAAAAATTCTGACGTGTTTTTTTGTAGAATCACTTTTTCTTAAACTAAGGTTTAATGGTGGCTCTGAAATCTGTTCAGGATCTCCACTGGCTCAAAACAAAAGTCAAAGTAACATCACAGAGAGGATCTCTGCTTACTGAATGAGATGCTGTGGGTGAAACTATTCATTTTTAAAGAATATATATTTCACATTAAAAATGCAAGTGGACTTATAGGGTAAGAGGGCTTTTTGGGTCTGTGGCCTTATTTGCCCTCTGCAACATTATGGGCTCAACCAGGCAACCATGTCTGACTGCCTGTGCTTCATTACTATCATGCTGCTGTGGATGACAGCCTTTCAGGGCCTCTAATAACCTTCAATTAGGGTGTCAATATTCCCTCAGCAGGACAGCAAAAAAAAGAAACTGTTAAGATCTCCAGACAGCACTTGGTTTCGTGAGGCTTTATCCACTCTTCACCATATCACTAACATCGTTAGTCGCAAATCTTTTAAGAAATACAGCCTTGCCCAAATTTACTCTCATTTTCGCAAACATTTACTCTCAACTTTCGCAAACACTGTTTTAATGTCCCAACAAGCTTCCTCTGCCCTTACCTTCTGTCTGGGAGGAAGTAGATTTTGACATAGGGGTTTCTCGGCCGGCCGTCTTCCCGCGAAGGCAGGTCCTTGGCCCCCAGGATGGTGACAATGAGCTGATGGCCCACTTTATCGTACCAGAGTTTGACCTGCACAACGACCAACACATTTTTAAGAGAGGAGGGATCTAGAGGGGTTTTGGTTTGACTACAGTATTTCTAATATACTGTACATACATGCATTAAGACAATTCTAACTCATGTTAAAGGAATACAATAGCATTTTTCATCAGTTTCTCATTGCAGTTTAACCGTATCAGGAAACCAGCTGAGTGCTTATAAAAGTCCAATTGTCTCCAAATTATTGATGTTCATCTTAAATCTTTCTATCTGCCTTTTCGTTAAAGACTAGCTAGGCGAGATTGTTTGCGTTGCTATGGTGACCAGCAGTCTGTGCTCCAACCTTCAGGGTTAAAGGGTGAATTAATTACATTAACTCCAGCGTTGAGGACCATTAAAACTGTGTTAAAACATTCAGCAGAGCTTTATTTTACTGCAAAGGAGGATTATTGTATTTTTACCTAAACATCTAATTCTGCTGTGGAGCTGCAACAGGTCAGTAAAAGAGCCGCATGGTGCTGAACCCTGGCCTATGGTAAGACATTCTCTCATGTCTGTCTCATCCTAAGAGCTGTACTGTTTTCAAGTGTAATCATAATGATATCGCATATTTCAAAAACTTATTCACAAAATTCAGTAACTGCCAAAATGGCTTCTTTGAAATTATCATTGAAATTATTATTGAAATGTTTAAATTGTCGTCTGTGGTAACAGTATGATACGGATGCAGCAGATAGAGATTAGGCTGAAAAATGCTGTAGTATTCCTTTAATTATATACATTTTTAAGACATTTTGTATTAATTTATTTAACCTCATTACTATTAGTATTACCATTATTGCCAATGCTTACTTTTACAGTACCCTAAATTCTAGGTATTAAAGAGATAAAAGTGAGGTACATACTTTAAAGTAGGAGGAAATTACACTGAATACACTCAGATGCCAAGCAGATTCTACCCATTAACTAGATAAGAGTGAGATTCAAACCCTGAAGTGCTGTATATTTATTTTATGCAAAATGGTAGTAACGAACCGGTAAGTATGAAAGCGTAACTAAATGACGCTGAAATACCAAACAGTTTCTAATTATCTAGCTAATAAAGGACACAGAACAATACCTCACAATTGGATTATCGGTTTCAGTAACAAGGTAGTGAAAACAAACATACTCAAGTTTAATTTCACTGTTTAATCAGTTCTATGGGGGTAAAAAGGCAGTACAAAGACCCCTTAAAGAGTCTTATATAGTATGTATGTGTGGAAAGAAAGCAGTGATTCTTACTGTGGTTTTACTTACTGTAAGTCCTCATCATTGTTTAAGATTTTTAATATTCAGTTTCCTGCTTAAACATGTGACACTACAGTGAAGTTCAGTGCAAGTATGTTTGTGTTTACCACCTTATTTCTCCAAATAATTATACAATTATGAGACACTTAATTCTAAGATATTTTACTATTTCTTTTTTTTCTACATTTTCTACATACAATGTTCTACATTTACCTCATTGTACCCAAAAGTTTGTACAATCTTTTAGTCATGTTGGTGCAATTCAGTTAGACCGTCTTGGAACTTGACCATCATGACAGCCAAAATAATCACCCAGTACTTTGGAGTTTGTACCACACAGTTACCCAATTAATAAAAAGAACGTATTAGTCTATTACTTTAAATATTGTTCAAGAAAAGTTCTTCCTGAAGACATAAGCATAATAACTGCTTGCTACTTGTAATATTAAATATAATGTCTGCAACAGAGTACTTAATGAAGTACATATGGGCTTCTATTTGCAAAATGTGAAATTTACATCTGCCCCAAAATGAACAAGGCAAATGAGGCAGAAGACTGAAAGCATAGCAGCGGTAGATTCCTCATGCAGTGACACGCAGCAGACAAGCACCCCTGCTTAATGAAGTATGGACAACATAGAAACACACTTAGAAGTCAGACAAAGAGTGAACAGACTGATCACCACAAAGAACAGAAAGAAAACAGGAAGAAATCACAGAAATAGATCAAATCTTCTAAGCCTTTGCCCATACTTGCTATGGTGGCAAGGATATACTATTATTAAGTCATTCTCGTACAAACAGTCTATTTGGATTTCATTGTAAAGGCATGCAGAAGGGGACAGCATTCAATATGTAAGCAGTCAAAGGAGAGATGTACTCATGTATGTGTGTATTTATGTACAGATATGCAGCTGTGCACTCTACGTTCAACACTGCTGTCAAAATATCTATAAAACAAGTCATTATTTTGAAATAAAAAGTTATACTTTCAACAAAATATGGACACATTGATACCAGAAGTATCTCTGTTTGCCTATCAAACTGGTCACCCCCACAAGTACAATACTATTTGTAGACTGCCAGTAATTAGCTCCACTTTAAGTAAAATTGTCCCTTAAGGTATAATGTGTTCATAAATTGTCATACACTACTGTTACTGGAAAACCCACCTAATTTCCAAAAAAAGACACAAGAAACAAAATTATTGTCACTTAATCTATCAAAACCTGCTTTGTTACTGTGAAATGTAGTTTCCTTGGAAAATTAGCTTAGTTTTATGGGACAAAAAACTGCTGCTTTGAAATGCAACATGAAACTTCCAGTGGCCACACATAAAAAACACAAACCACAAAAGTTAGTGAATTAACATTATATACAAAACTGTTCTGCAAAGCAGTTTTGCTTCAGCATTAAAGAAACATTAAACTCTCACAGGAGTTTCTTACCATCCCCAGATCAAGAGGATTCAAATAAGGACTGAAAGGTTTAAGCCTCCAGGTCGTTTCAGGTTACAAGGAAAAAGAGTCAAATTTGTCCTTGCAAACTCGGCAACATTTTAACATTTAAAGAGACACAATCCTGCCCAGCGTGATGTAACAGATTGGCTGACAACATTGCTGTTTTTTGATGTACAATGACTACAACATGATACTTATGTATAGCTTATATATAGCTTTGTAATAATGGTAAGTACATATATGCAAGAACTGTGTCTCTTGAAATCTTTGTTTTGATTTTCATCATGCAAATGATTCAAGCCCCAAAATCATATGTTGAGAAATGAAGTAACAGTAGTTGCGATGGCAGTAAACAAAGGAGAAAAGAATAGTCATATATTTTACACAAGCAAACAGAAAAACAGGATGCAGCCATTTTTGCTGTGCATTTTCAACAGAGGCAAAAGCTAAAAAACAAGAATTAGGGGGCACAAGGGAGGGGGTGGGGGTCTTTCTCATAGACAGCGACCATTACCTGAACCCTAGGGTTAAAAGGCTCGATTCTCCTACTAAGGCTTTGGCTCTGGATAGGCAAAGTTAATGACAAAACAAAACAAAACAAAAGAACAATGCAATAAAACTAAAATCCAAAATGACACCACCAATGTTAGGGGAGCTTAGAGAGAGATTCAGTCTAAACATTTCAGGTTAACAGTAAACATTTGAGATTTACAAAAATATCTGAAATGAACTGTTATTAATACAAACAAGTTTGTATTAACAAATTAAACAAATTAAACAAACTTTTTCTGCCAATATCAAATGCAATACTACATGACTCAAAGTGTTTTTTTAGTCATGGAAAATAACAAGCAGAACATTTTCAAACACATATAATTAGCTTTTCATTCCTCCATCCAAACCATCATTTCAATTTCATCTATTGTTCTGCATAAAGTTGCCTTGTGTAGGTGTTATTTTGTGGAAAAAAGTGATATAAATAAACATGTCTTGCCTTTATTCTCATTTACTCACATTATAATTCATTCTCTTCAGTACAACAGCCACATCACTTAGGTCCTGGTTTCACATAATACATGCTTCTGAATAAGCTTAAAGGAATACTCCAGCTTAATCTCTATATCCTGCATCTGTAGCGTATGGGTAATAATTTCAGCACGTTTCCCTGTGGGTCAATGTCATGCATTTTTTGTGTCAAAGTTCATTACTTTCCTATAAAATAATTTATTAGAAGCATGACATACTGTATACTACATTCTATAATACCTTGTTGTGCCACATGGCACAACCAGCAACAAAGGACTTTAATGCTGACATGTTTTTAAGAAAGAGCGGGCAAGGTATTCATCATGCATTATAAAGAAGACCCAGAGTGACTTTCACAGTGCAATGCCAAGGTCAGCAGCCCTTTCACAAATATTGAGTTATGGTTCAGTTTACCACGTCCCCAGGAAAAGCATGAAAATGTCTTATCATAATAATGTGTGTTTATTTGAAAAAAATTTATGTATAAACTTCTAGTTTCTATAATTTCTAGAGGTCAAGGATAAATGCAGGGGTCCAAGTACAAAGGCTAGTTTATATACATTTTTACTAGTGGTAAATAACACAGATAACATATTACAATGTTTTCCATTTGGGAAAAAAAGATTTTCAGCCTAATTTATAAATACTTTTGACTTTTGATGAATTTAAAACATAAATATTTACAGAATTCAACAACTGCCCACTGCCTTTTATTAAAAGCATGTCTGAAATGAAATCTTTTAACTACAGGCAAATATATTGAAGACATTGTCTGTGGTCACTGAAGATACGCTACAGATGCAGTAGACTTGGAAAAAAATGCTAGAGTATTCTTTCAATGATTATTCAAAGGAGATGTAGTGAATAAACTTAAGATGCCCTGTTTCTTTTATGGCTTTATAAGTAATGCTGTAGGATATCACAGGATGCAAGAATTTAAACTGAATCTCCCTCCCAGCAAACAACAAATACATAGAAACACACCAGATTATGCTACCCAAATACACACACAATACACACATATACACATCATATAGTGTTAAAGACTGAGGGGTTTGATTACACAAGGAAGTTGTTGAAGTGCTATTCAGGACATTTAAAAACAATTTTGACCTTAGGCCTGGGCAATATGATGATATGTTACAGATATGGTGATAACCTACATCACAATATGTATAACCTGGGTATAACTGATACATTCATAACACTGAACAACTGCTAGTATCTTAATAAAGACACATTTAGACGAATTAAGGAGAGCCTGTGAACAGGAACCAGTTCATAGTCTCTGCATAAAGCACACAGTAACTGCTTCTGATCTGTATGAGAGTAAAAATACATGTTGTATTGCAATATTTAAGACAAATCTCTGGAAAGGGAAATGTTAACATTAGTAGTGGGTGGATGAAGCGGTATACTGGTTGAAATTCTTCCTGGAGTCAGAACCATTTCACTGACATGCCACAAACAAGTGCAGATAACATGATGTACTAACAGTGCACATCACACTAACATTAGGATGTTTAGCTGAAGGGCTGAGTAACGGGGGGCTTCTATCACGTATCAAATGAAAACGCTGCTATCTAGGCTGTTGCATCTTTTGGGGTGACCCTGACACTTTTTATTAAAAAAATTCTGTTTCATCTTAAATCATCCAGCAGCTTCTGGAGCTGCTGCTCCATTTAGGTGGAATGGAAAATCCAGACAAAAAGCTGTCGAATAGGAAGCCAAGAAATTTCAGCATTAAATAACTTTAAGCACCATTTAACCAGGCTGACAGGGATAATGTTAGAAAGCTTATAATAGCATGAGCAGTTTTGTTTTTACTATTTTAATTTAGCGTCTAAAAGTGTCCTAATCTAACTTTTAATTTTTTTTTTAATTTGATTTTTAACTATCCTAATCTTAATTTCTAATGTGATTTTGAATGTGATGATTTTCTCTTTTAAATCTATTGTTTTAATCAGGTGTTAATCATGTTTTTGACTTCTATTCTTGTTTAGTATTCACTGACTCTGAATTTTCTCATTTGTGACGCACTTTGAATGACAGCAGTTTTTTTGCCATACTGCCTACTACTAATTAATTAATTAATTAACCATCAGCCACTCCTTAATTTTGCTGAATCAAAAATATACTAAATCAAGAATCAGTTTGATGATAGTTACACCCCTACTGTTCTGCTGCAGCATTTTACCTGTCAAATTTTGCCAGTTTGTTCCTTAGCTCAGACAAATGAAAATACTGTGATAAATATCGAGTTCTGTGGTACATTTTTGCCATATCTTCCTCTCCTACTCCTTACAGTCTCTACTGATGGTGATGAGCACCTAATCATTCACTGAGCAGCCCTGCAAACCTTACACCAATGATGCTCATGTTCTGGAGGCACTTGCAGGAACACTTTACAGATTGACAAGGAACACACGACTGACAGTAACATGATCAGGTCTAGTGCTAAGGACCTTTGGGTTTGTTCCAGCACTGTGGCCTAGCACAGACACCGTGGAGTCGGGCCAGAGCCTTATCTTTCCTTCATGTCAGCTTTGTTCACCTCACAAGTGTTTGCCAACCTCTTAACCCGGCTTGAAAACAAAACACAAAAGCTAGCACTTAAGCTACCGCTCTGATAACTGCAAAGGATCAGGATCTCTTATAGCCGTTCTGTCATCTAAATAACAAGATTAAAACTTAATACTTTTCTGCTTTGTCTAATATCAAAGTGATCTAACCAGGCTTGAAAAAACAAAACATGACAGTTAGCAGAACAAAAGCTATGACTCAGACAGCAACGTAGCTCAGGGGCTCAAAATCTAAGTAAAATCTTTACAGTGGCTGTGTTGCCTAAATGGCAATAGTCACGTTTACATGCAGCCTGATAATCTGTTAACAATACAACTAATGGCTCAATCAGAATAGACTAATGGTCTGATTGAGGCCATTCGAGATACAATTTCAATCGATTTGAACAAGGTGGTTAATCCTGTAAATAATCCATTAAATAGAAAAAAATTGGCCACGTAAACGCCTGTATCTGATTACCTTCCCAATCATTAAGTTTAAGTACATTCTGCGCATGTGCGTTCGAGTCATAACGGACGTTTATAACGTTCAACATGGCGCGAGCCAGAAACTGGTCTGCAGAAGAGACAAAGTTTATGCTTCAAACCTAAGACTTAGCAATAAAGCTCGCAATAATTAGCTGTTCAGAAATGTACAATTTAAAATGCCAATTCTGTCTCTTTATGCACCAAAATTAGAATTAAAATTCTTGGCTAAAACCAAAATAATTCGGAGGCTTCCTATTTTACATATAAAAACACTAGGTCAGTGTTTCCCACACATACAGTGGGGTCCAAAAGTCTGAGATCACAATGAAGATTTTTGGGATTTTTTTTTAGGTTGAGTCTGAAAATAAACAATACAAAGTTTTTGTCACTTAAAAATCTGGGAAAAGAAAAGTTATGAGCACGAGTGACAGTGGAGAAGACAGCGAGACAGTGAGCAGAAAAAATAAACAAAGAGAAAGGGCCAGGTCAGATATTCTTCTTCCCTGCTAATTGTTGGACTTTTTTTACTTAGTCTATTAGTTTGGTTGTTATGAGTACCCTATAAGTATGAGTTAGCATATTACATACTGTACTTGGGTCAATAAGGCAGTTGTACAGCCACTACACATAGCAGCCAAGTTGTCCTTAACAGAATTTGCTTTCTTTTAGTTAGAAAGAAGGGATCATTTTCTGAACACTTTGTGGTCTATCTTAATAGGGGATTTTTACAGATTTTTCAAAATTTCTGCGTAATTCCATCACTAGGATGTAAATAAAGTTACTCAGAGTGGTTTGATGTGAAAAGCTGCATTGTAGAGAAAATCAGTAACTCAGTTTTTTTTACAGTGGTGCTGACAGGAACCAGAAGTCTACTCTGCAAATATAGTATTTTATTTACCATCCAAAGCGACCAATGAACCTACTCGTGTCCTCTGAGTTTTTATATGCTGATAATGGTAAAACAGTGGTAAATCTGAAAAACCCAAGGGACAGTTTTCTCTTACAGCACTCTGTGAGCTCCTATCTGCCATGAATGGATATAAAAAATAAGCTTCAGTCCAAAATCTTATTTCAATACTATCATAAAACAATGTCTCAGGCAGTAGGTTGTGTATTTGTAATTATTTTAAATAAAAACTTCTTGTAAGGGAGCTTTTAGTGGCTTTGAACTCTGTGGACATCTGTTTCCTATCATCTCCAATTTGTGAGCACTTCACATCAAAACGCTCTATTTGTTATGGATTTGTTTACATTTGATCTATTTAATTATGCAGAAATTTGGTAAAATCTGCAGAACTTCCCTTCAAATATAATTAGAAGAAATGGCTATATATTAGTACATTTTGATAAGTTTAGTAGACATGATTGAAGTAAAAGATGTTTCTAGCTTGCGTCTTCATTTTCACCATGTTTAACCCCTTTGTTTGTAGTGATTATGGTTTCATATACCATGTTATTTGCAGGAACACTATATAATCACAGGACCAACAGGATTAAGTTTCTACGGCCAGTCATAAAACCCTTGGATTCACTGCTTTTCTCCTGTCAAAGCTCATAAAAGACAGCTGATGCTTTCATTCAAGAGCCTCTGATAGGCTGTAGCGTGACCTACCAGAGTCAAAAGTCTCAGAAACATATCTAAATCATCATCTTTTACATCATTAACAAAGGTGGCACATGAAAACAAGCCATGCATCAAATGGCAGTGTAATCAGTGAAATCTTTTATTTTTATTCATATTATAGTAAAACTAAAGCTAAGTGTTTGTTTCTAAGGGCAGAACAGACTGAAAAAGATCTACATAAGCCTACGCCTCGAGACCAAAGCATATTTCAAATCTGTGGGAAGCACTGCTATGTGGCAAAAAAATGACTTTCTTACTGTAAGCGAGACTTGAGCAGGAGAACTGACAATACGCATGATCAACATGCAGCACTGATTCATCGATGAGGTAGATTTTCTTTGTTTTGTTTTAACTGAGTAACTGTCTTTTCTCAATTTATTGTGACAGCCCTACTTTTCACATTATAAAACTGATGTAACAAGTCTCCAAGCCTTAAAAAAGTAGTAATTTCCAAAGAAAATGGACGTAGTGACATTTTGTGCAGTGACTTAATGCAGGTTTAATAAAATAATAAAATGTCACAACAATCTGTCAGTGTGCACTTAATCAATTCAAATAAAGAAACAGCCTTTAAGAATGACAGCTATATTAAAAATGTGTCTAAGGTCGTACATCGACCTTCTAATAAAATAAACACCATCTTTTCCCCCGCAGAGCCTGTATAGAAGAGTGATGCATTGTGGGAACTCACTGAGAGCTGTCCGGATAAGTACTGGGGTGCGTCTCGCAGCATGCCGGGGCTCATGGGGGATGTGACGGATATGGACGGCCGCTCCATTTTCTGCGACTCAAAAGAGCTGGAACCTTCAGGAGGAATTTAATAAAAGGAGAAGAGAGGAGAGAAAGAGGACAGAGAATTCGATAAAGGTGTGAAACACTGGGGCTTATGGTCTGCTGTATTCCTCAAAGGGCCTGACCAATACGAAATATTTGTGACTGTTACTGATTTTAAAGGGGATTTTTCGAAAAAAACAAAAAAATCTGCATAATTCAATGGCTGAGATGTAAACTAAGTAATTTATAGGTGTTTAATGTGAAATGGTGAATTTCTTTACAGCGGTGGGTACAGCGAACAGGAATCAGCGATTGCAAACACAGCCATTTTATTTACTAAAATTCAAATTTCCAAAATTTTTTATCCATTATTCCGAATTCCAAAACTGGAACATCTTCTGAGTTTTATATGTAATGTTGATAATGGCAAAATAGGAGCAAATGTTTTCTTTCGGGACTATTTCACTTTACAATGTCCTTTATGTTCCTCTCCACAATTAATGTATTTTAAAAAAACATTTTTGAACACAAAAACTTTAGGCCAACTCATAAAACAATGTCTCAGGTATCAGGCAGCAGTTTTTCGTAACCATCTCATGTTATAGCTTTCTGTGAAGGGAACTTTTAGAGGCAGACGTCTGGTTCTCATCACCACCACTGTGAACACCGTGTGTGGTTTACATGAAACTCTGAACAACTTTGTTTACATCTTAACCATTTAACTAAGTGGACATTTTGAATAACTGGTGTAATAAAAAAAAACTCATGCTACAGAAATTCTAAATTTTTAATAAAGTAAATTATTCAAATGAGAACAGGTTTGGATTAATTTTACATGGTTTTGTCATTTATCAGCCTGTACTGCTAATATAAATGGGCAAATGATGGTGGTTCACTTAAACTTCAACCATTAAATCCACAAAAATGAATGATGTTCCTCATGCTAGTACATAATAAAAAAGCCACTTTATCTACAGTATTTTCACTGATACCAATAAACTGATATATCAGTCAGGCCCCATTTCCTGTGACAAACTGCAAGGCTAAGAGTCTTTTATAGACTTCTGGAGTTCACCCAAGAGCACTGCTACAGTCCAGCCACACGGTGGCTACTCACTTGATTCCAGCTGTGTATGTGCACTGTCTGGTATCCTGGGGATATCTCTGCAATGAGAGGGGTGGAGAGAGAGAAAGAGAGAGAGAAAGAGAGTGAGAGAGAGAGAGAGAGAGAGAGAGAGAGAGAGAGATCAATAGAGGCTAAAAAAGAGCGCATGAGCTTTTAATGACCCTAAGCACCACATTAGTCTCTATTATAGTGTCAGTAGAGGCTGGACCAATATGCTGAACTGAAATCAGTTTAGCTTGTTTTCCTTGTATTGTCTACACTCAGAATTTGGACAGAAGTAGCTGCTCCTGCATCAGCACTTCAGCGAGAGCATTTTTGTTCAGCTCTGTTTCTAGCACAAAGCAGAGCCAGACATAGAAGAGCCGAACAGCACACTCTGTGTGGTGGTTTTCTGGAGTACCTCTGCTTTCAGAAGCCATTTGCTTCCTGCTGTTTCCTGAAATGGAGCAACCACGCAGGTTGCTGGGTAGATATGTAGTTTTCTTTAATATAGCAAATATGGCAAGGGTACCAAATGTGTTCCAATAAGACAACAAGAACACCTCTTTCAAAATCATAGTGCCAAATGAGCACTGCAAGTTCTCAGTTGAAAAAATATTAAAACTCCTGGAAAAGCGCTGCATTATATCCACATTTAATCTGTGAAATGCTGAATTAACTTAATTCAAATGTGAACATCATGTCCACATAAATGAAATATATTACAACACAATTCTGTCTTTCAGTTTACTTAGTCTCAGCAGCTAAATATAACATCAAATTTGCACATAGTTAATATGTCCACCCTTTGCCTTTATTAAAGCTTTCAGTTTATTCCAAAGGTCTATATGACATATATCACTGTTGTTGGAAGAAAACTGTGTATCTTCAAAACAGTAACTTTACAAGAGATGGAAAAAACATACCCTACTTTTAATGTAAGTCAATGGAACCAGACTTTTTGTCCAAGTAATTCTGGGCCACTTTTTTGGTCCATTCATCATGAAATTTACACACAGTGTAAAGGGTAACAGGTATTTTCAAATTATATCAAAAACTGAAACATACAAATGAATGAAGAGCAGCCCACAATGGTCTTACCCAATAGGCCGGGAGACGACTAGTTCCACCTGAGGCTCTGGCTTTGATTCTAAAATGATATTGTAAACTTCTTTAAATGTGGCTCCTTGTAAATTCCTCCCATTCCACTCCAAGACTTGATCACCTAGAAAACAGAAGAAAAGTAACTGACAAATAGCTTTAAAAAGCTATTTATATTGTGCTTTATCAGCACTTTTATTGCATATTAACTCCTCACTCTTAACTTGCGTTAGTTTCATAGTAATTACCCAATAATTTTTAGCATTTACTGCATAGAATTAGTAACTGAATAATAAGGCCGGGGTTCACAGGTTTAACATTTTACCAATAAAGGTATTCTCTGTGACCTTGCATGAGATTATTGTATTAGCTCTTAGTGGAGGTAAGCTTGTTCTCTTAAATTACCCATAAAGCTGATGTTAACAGCTTCCATGACAGTAATACAAATATGAACAGCTTCCATAATGGTAATGTGAATAAATTAAACGCTCACAGCTTACAACTTTAATACTATATCTGAGTAAAGTTAAAATCTAGGCAGAGGTATATATGAACAGAAATATGCTGAATACCTGGTCTGAGGTGTCCAACAGTGTCTGCTAGACTTCCTTTCCTTACTTTGGTGATAAATGCACAAAGTCTACCAGACTCTGTCATTTTCCCCCCGACCACCTGTCCAAGACAGTGGAAAACACAATCTCATGATTAATACACAAATAGAGTCAATTTCTACAGACTTATATTAACTCTTTAAAGTACCCATCGGAAGTACCCATCTCCACACCTTACATATAGTTTTATAGTAGTTACTATGGAATTCAAAATAGTCACTGAATAAAAAGGCTAGAAATGCTCTATCCCAATTTCCATCTGCTGCATCTGTATTATACAATCGATTTCCACAGACAATCATTTTGGCACATTCCCTTTAACTAAATTAAGGAGCAGACACACTGTCACAATATACTTATGATAAAAACCATAGGGCAGATGCAGATGCAGGATTTCTGTTCTTTTTAAAAATTATTGGAGAATTCTTTTAAGAATAATAATGGATATATTTTAGCAATGTTTTTGAAGCTAGCACTTTATCATGAGTCATTTTACCACAATGACCTTGTTCTAGACCTGAATACTACAGTATTCAGCAGAGAAATGCTTCCAATATTGGCAATTATACTTGGAAAGTGGTTTGTGTATACAAGCATATACAAACGTTTGGGTGCCCCTGGTCAAATAACATGTTTTGTTGATTTAAAAAGTGGAGTTAAAATAAGATAACATCCTCTTCAGAGAATATACCGAAATATGGTATTTATTTGCTAATTTTAGTGCACAAGTTCCATTTATTTGCTGTATTTTCCCCCAGTATGTTAAATTCAACAAATCATCCAAAAAATATTTTTGGTTTTCAAATAAACACAAATGTATGCATATTTAAGTAGATGTCTCACTTACATATCAAAATGTTATTGTTTGCTAAACTTTAAATCCAAAAAACAGTTGTAAAAAATATCAGCAATCAACTGGCGAAGATTCATTCTGATATCTATTGTTTTAAACAATTACACAATTACTCTATTCACCTGCAGTGTCTTGCCTTAGTTTTGGTCATGGGTTGGACATGGTCAATTTCTGAATGGGCATTAAAAGCTTTCAGATTCACAAAAAAGCTTTTAAATTCACAAAAACTTAAAGTGAAAAAAAAGTAACGATAATAAAGGTGTTATACTAAGTTAAGGTTACATTAAAGGACTCTTTTATTTTTTTATATATTATCGTTGTCTAAAGAAAAACATGTATCTCCATTTTTGTCAATTTTTATTTTTCTCTATTATTTGAACAAACCAGTTGCCCTTTGCATTGTTTGAAAATTTCATGACGATTGGACAAATCAAAGTGCTCAAAAATCACTTTTAATAAAGCCTCTTCACATTAACTTACATTAAAAGTTAAGAAGGTTTTTGCCCTCGACTGTAAAGTTGACATTTTGGAGATACTTGTTTTTCTTTGGACAATGACAACATATTTTCCAACATATTTTTGTATTAATTGATTTTTCCCCTGAGGTGCACTTATAACATCTGTGTGGTTCTATGGACCAAAAATGGTTTAAATTAACTCTCATGTGACCACTTTTCAACCTCTTTATCCCTTAAAATTAAACACTGTTTTTTTTATTGTGCATTTATGACTGACATAAGGTAATGATGAGAATAATGAGCTCTGTTCTGATTGACTGCCCTGTACTGTGCCTCATTCAAAAAGCACTCAAAGGTGAAAACCCTCCTTCAAACCTCATTATGAATGGGCGGGGCTAAACTGCTGTAGCCTGAGTAGATGGATATATGTCAGTGAGCTGGTTCTTGTGACATCACAGTCACAGCAAATTCAAAATGGGCTGTTTTTGCAATATAGTTAGCATATATGGACTGTACGAACCGGTGAGTGAATGGAACGTTTTAAAACTTTAACAATGCTTACGTATTATTTCAAACTCGGAAGTTTGGTTTTCCATGACATGGGCCCTTTCACCACTCAGTTTATCTGAAACGAACAGCACTGCAGATGATCAATAAAAGACCTCCATGCTTTTGGGACCGGTCCACATTATGTTGCTGAGGAGCTGTCCATGGTGCTGAAAATCGCTGACTGATAGGAAAAGGCCTGGAGGTCTGTACTATCTGTACTATAAGCCCCACGAACCCATTTGCCTTCTCAGAGCATCATACAAATCAAATCCACACTAATGGCAGCCCAACGCAAATGTACAAAAGGAGATTACAGAGCTGCCTCCTGGATGAAAATGGCTTTATGTAACGTGAGGCACAGAGCTGCAGGGAATCACACTTGTGTTTGAGCATGTGTGTATATGTTTATGTGTGTGTGTGAGTGTGTGTGTGTGTGTGTGCACGGGTGGCCTGCGTGTGATCAGCAAGCTGCTGCTGGGAGAAGAGGGCGAAAGATCAGCCATTCAAGTTCACTCAATCAGTAACGACTAGTCCATCTCTGGACTCACTCTATAGCCACTCAACTCTTTCACTCAGAACCTCCTCTTTCACCAGGACAGCTCACACACACACACACACACACACACGGCTCATATACTCTCACACAATTAAAGGAGAGTTCCAGCAAATGTTCAGCGTTTCTGCATAATTCAGTAGGTGAGATGTAAACAAAGTCATTCAGGGTAGTTAGATATGAAATGGTTAATTAAGAAACTTACTCTGATGACTGAGTGGTGGTGATAGGAACTAGGTGTACACTTCCATTTTTAGGGACGTACCGATCATGAAATTTTATGGCTGATTCTGATTTACTGCCCTTTTTTAACATCTGAAGCTCACACTGTGTGGGGTAAATAACTATATGAAACACTCTAGTCCTATTATTAGCCAAACTGGCAATATAAACAACACAATGAGCCACGTTTTTCCATTTTAAATCAGCTGCCTATTTAAATAACATGAATGAAATAAAGTGCCACACTGAAAGTAAAAAGCTACTGGCTGTTTACCACAAAGAGTCATGCATAATTATGCTACAATACTTTGGTGTCAACAGCATTCAAATACAGCACAAGAGCACATATTTACCCCATAGAACTGCAACAAAAATCTGGCAAATTTAAAACAATAAATTGGCTGATTTGAGCAAAATTCCGATTATGCATCCCCTAGCCATTATAATTAACATTTTCCTAAAGCCACCAACCCTTTTAAGTTTTTACATGTAATGGTGATGATGGTTAAACAGTGATGAACCTTAAAAAAATATTTGGGGACTATTTTTCCTTGCATCTCTCTGCCACGATTGTTTTTTAAATACATTTAGGCCAAATCTTCTTACAACTACCATAAAACAATGTCTAAGGCATCAGCTAGCGTATTCATAACCATTTTATATAACAATTTTCTATGAGGAAGCTTTTAGAGGTGGATGTCTGGTTCCTATCACCACCACTGGGAACAATTCTGACACTGTAAGCACTGTAAGGAGCCTTTCACATTAATCTACCCTGAATGACTTTTGTTTACATCTTAATCATGTAATTGGGCAGAACTATAGAAAAAAGGTGGAATTCCCCTTTACTGTCTTGCCTGCTTACCAAGCTAAAAGTACTTTAATCCTTTTGCATGTGACAGTTGTAACAGATATTAACTAATATCAAATGGAAAGCGTATTAAAACAACCCACAGCAGAAATAAAAATTACTGAATATTTTTTATCTCAAGCACAGTCACAGCAGATAGTACAAACATACAAATGATCAGTGAATGATTAATGAATCTTATTCAATGAATTAATCTCATAATGCAACCATACTGTTGCTGCAGTTAGACAACTTCGGAAAAGTGCATCTTTCAAGTATGCTCGTTAATCAGCTAAGCTATAGAACATGCGTCATTTCTTGACTATCTGCATGTGCGTCCAAACATATTTGAAAACATTGTAGAAAACATTATATAATCTGCATTTGCTTAGTATCGAGAAATAATTATTGCCAGAACTGTTTAGTGGAATTGTGCCCTGTTTGGAATCGATATCAACATATGGGAATGAACTAAACATGCCGGCCGACTGTATCACCAAGAGGTAACAAAAGGTTAATGTTCACTAATGTAACTAGAAAGTAACTTTAATCATTTTTATTGCTCCGTTCGTCATAATGAAGTGTTCTTACAATGTAAAGGGCAGCTGCTGGTGTAAAAGGTGTAAAGACATAAAAACGGGTTTTCATATTGCAGCAATTACAGTGACAGAGTATTTCATATATATATTGACAATAAAAGAGTATTAGTGCACTGCAGAAGGTCCACACTGCCCATCTCAATGACCTACCCACAGAGCGAACATGCACGTTCACTCAGTCTCACCTTTAAACCCAGGAGCGCTCCGGAGTCCCGCGGCACGCTCCCGTCCTTCAGGCGCTTGTTGAGCAAAATCCGGCCAATCAGCCGATCCCCATCTTTGGACGGCTGCCACGTGACAGGGTGCTATTAGGTTGAATTAAAAGAGAAAGTCTAGTTTACAACTAAACTTGTCCAAAGAATCTAATTTTGACATGTAGAGTGGAAGACTACAGTGGGGGTGGGGAAGGAGCAATCAGTTTTAGCGTTCAGGTGATCACATGAACCCAGTTTCAGTTATTGGTCAATCAGCCAAAAACATTTAGGCGAGATTAGATGCTTAGGGATTAGTAAAACAGAACAGAAACTATTTGGTATTGATGCCATTTCCATTTCCAGCATTAATGAAACTGCTCTTGCTGCTTAGTAAAACTGCGGACCACCCAAAATTTTGTCACTCCTGACATCTAAGCATGAAATAAGTAACATTTATAGTTTTTTCTTTCTTTTTACATGCACAAGCGTTAGGAACTCCAATCTGTTATCCAAAACCTTGTTTTTATTTTAATTAAACACACAGTAGTGAGTAGTCTCATGGGACCACACATTATCTCGTCACAACATCTGTGGCCAATAATGAGAATTTTTGGTCTACATATGGACAAGAACATTATTTATTTCCACCCTAAAAAGTCAAAGTCTTAAATTTCAAAAACATTTCAAAGCTTTGTAAAGACGGAGCTCTAAGTAAGGGGCAATGGCTTGCTCGTCGACACTGTCTAACAGGCTACAAGCCTGTCAGTAGCCCATGGGTGTATCATTTGTTGCTATGCTAAGTTGCTATGGCTGAAAAATCCCTCTAAGATATCAATTAAGCATGCAGATGTGTGGAGTAAACACACATTACATAAAAATAAAACAGCTCCATTAGCTAATGATAGCGTTTTAGTAGCTAGCTTGTTTTGTTTGTGTTATTTTTTTTTATTCCAGATGTGTTTTGCTTTTTTTTTTGCTTGTGTTACTGACTGTACTCTGCTATGGACTAGTGGAATTTGGGGGTGGGTTTTATAGGGGCTGTACCCTTGTTTGCAATAAATTTGCCACAATCCAGGATCAAAAGTTTAACAAGCCGTTTCCAGGTGTGTATTTTTGTTTTGAGAGACCAATAAGTAAACTGCCCTGTATTTTTATTTCGTAACCACATTTAAATGTTTAGTCATTGCACCCTCTGGGGCATTTGGAAACTGTCCTACACATACTGATTATCAAGCTATAAAATACCTATGCTTTTAAATAACCCAAATCTCTATATTTGTTGATAACTTTGTCCCAATTTATATTTACTTTTTATTTCTTACTTTCACAGACCTATTGCTTAACTAGGTCTTTTTCATCTTGAACCTTAAATGACATTTTTTGGCATATCAACTTTTATTACATGAATTATATAAAATTAATTAAATTATATTAAATTAATATTAAATTAGCCCAGAGTTTATGTGATCAAATGATTGTGGTAGTGATTAGCATGCAAGCCCCTCCCCCAGGTACTCCCCAAAACGCTGTTCCCAACCCTGCCAGCCCGCCAGCACCAAGCACAAATCCCGCAATAAAGAAAGCAAACAACACAAACACAGACAGCAAGATGGACAAAGCACAAGAACCACCCCCTTAAAAATGAAGAACCATGTGATAATAATCAAACTTCAACATATACGACAGTGAAAGGGAAAAAAGAAAAACATAACTTATCTGTGCCACAAACAACTCCCCCTCCCCCCACCCAGCTACACTGTGCGTGTGTTGAAGTGTTCTGGTGTGTCAGTGCTGGAGTCGGTGGAGAGTGGTGGGTTTTCTGGGGTGTGTGGTGGTCCGTCCGGTTCTGTTGTAGGGTTGGGGTGGGGTTGGTTTGGGGTAGGTTAAAGAGGGCGTACCACAGAGGGTCTAGGGCCTACATGAGAGGCCTATATGCCTTGCTGTAAACGGGCATGGTTACCACATGGCAACGACACAAAAAAGAAAAGTGAGAGAAGGCTGGAAGGGCATGCACCTAGAAAGGGGGACCCCACATTCTCTAAGTGCCATGACAAAACATACACATCGAGGAGTGGAGGAATAAGTGATGCTCCTGGCACACACTCTAGCTCAGTACCCACACTACGACACGATCAGCTCCAGCTACAAAAGCCCACAACCACAGAGCAAGCAAGAGGTCCCCCCTCCACGCTTAGCAACATCCCAGCTACAGCCAAAGTGCTGCCAAAAAACAAAATAAACGCAACCAAACAAAAACAAAAATTTCCAATAAAACAAAAAATGACATTCTTAAAGTGATGGTTCAGCCAAAAAATTCAAACAAACACAATTCTCCCCTGACCCCAAATGTAGTCCATCAGTCAAGAAGTTTGGTTCTTTAGTTTTGTACTGGAGCTACAAGGCTAATGTGGTTAACATGTAACGGATGCTTACAGGTATGAGTTAGCACTGTATAAACTACATATGAAAAGAATTTTTGAAAAGAATAACAGTCGAAATATTATGGAAAACACATTTTCACTGGTCTAATAAAAAAGTGTATTAATCATAATATAGCAGTGACGTCTGATTGGAAGAGTTATGGCGAAAAATACTGCATTTGATAATATTGATTAAAAAATATTCAAATACCCGAATTGTTTAAAAATTATCCAAAGTGATAACCTGGCGGAATGGTCACTAGGGGGCCAGCAGAGAAACACTCTGTCATCTCAAATGTGGTTTCTAACACTGTGTCGGTTCGATCCCCTCAGCTGACAGTACGTGACTGAAGTGCCCTTGAGCAAGGCACCTAACCCCCAACTGCTCCCCAGGCACCGTGGATAGGGCTGCCCACCGCTCCGGGCAAGTGTGCTTACTGCCCCCTAGTGTGTGTGTGTTCACTAGTGTGTATGTGGTGTTTCACTGCACGAATGGGTTAAATGCGGAGGTCTAATTCCGATGTGTTCAGACACAGTTGGCTAAAAGGTTCATCTCATTCATCCACTTCATTCATATATATATATATATATATATATATATATATATCTTATTATCTTATGTTTATTTTATATAGTATGTCATGAGGTATCAGAAACCACATAAGCAGGTCTATTACAGATTATGTAACAATTTGATGCAGTCTGAGGCATGTATGTGTCTGAAGCTCCAACTTCAGACAGCTACAACTGTTTTAAACTATGTAACATACTTTTGAGACTACTCAACAGTTTATGGTTTGAGGCATGTATGATAGCTTATTTAATCTATATGGTTTCCATGATGCTAATGTGTGGCTCTAAGCTTCAGTTACTTATTAGCTAGATTAGCCTTGTAGCTCCAAAAACTAAAGAGAAAAATTTTAGACACCAAACACGTCTTAACTGACCGACTGCGTTTGCAGTAAGGGGACAACTATGTAAATTTGATCTCTGGCCGAACCATTGCTTCAAATAACTCAACACTGATAGAGGAAACCAAATCAACATTTCACCTATTCACAATCACTGACAAAAATAAAAGAAAACACAAATAAAGAAAACAAAAGACCAGATGAGAAGACAAATGAAAAGAGCAAAATAAATAAATAAATTAACTCAAGAGAGAGAGAATGCAGGCTGGAATAGGTCCCAGTACCTTCTCACTATGGCTATGCTCCTCGTTTAGGGTGGTGCTACTGCATGTGTCAACGCCCGAGTCTTTAACCTGCGGCTCACACCACTCGGCATCCTCTTCCAAAGAGTGGCCCCAAAAGCGCACCATTTTCTTTTGGCCCTCTGATAAGATGTGTGCCTGCTCAATAGTTTTTCTTTTTCCCCTTTGACTGTCCCCTACAGGCGTGGAATAAAGAACAAAAACGAAAAAAAAAGCAAAAAAGAAAGAAAGAAAAAAGACATGCAAAGGTGAAAATAAATCAAAGGAAACCATGAAATGACAAGAGACTGAGGGGACAGAGACAGAGAGAGAGTAAGAGAGAGAGAGAGAGAAAGAGAGAGACAGAGATAGACAGAGCGAGGTAGGGTGGGACTAGGCTCCGCATGTCTCACCAAAGACATAGAGGAGGTATCGCTGCTATGCCACGTCGCATGGTCCCACCAGTGGCCATCTAAATCTCCTGTGAGTTCCCCACGTGCACACACACACACACACACACACACACACACACACACACACCAGCGGGCAGCAGCAGAGAGCACAATGCAGAGAGTGAGGAGAAAAAGAAGAAAGAAGTCCAGGGAAACAGCACAGAAGGACATACATGGTCAAAAACACATACAAAACATGGTCATTCGCTCACTCATCTTCACCCACACACACTCTCAGGCTGTCATCTGAGTACAATATTGGGGGGAAAAGTCACACTGTGACATCACGCCTGTACAAAAAGCCAAAAAGCCTACAGTCATACGCCAAAGTTAGGGCACCGCTGTAAAATGACATGTTTTGTTGATTATCTGAGTGAAAAGTTCACACGTTCTCTGCAGAGAACACTTCTGCACATTTTAATGCACAGTTGCTGTTTATTTGCTGAACATAACACATTGGGAAAAAATGTGGCTCATGAAAAAGTTACGGCACATATAACATTTGTTTTTTTGTTTTTTTTCAAGCATGTTAAACCCAACAAATAGAAATTGTGCATATAAACAGCATATTCAAGTGTGTTCTCTGTAGAGGATGTGTTAGCTTATTTTAACAAAACATGTAATTGGACCAGGGGTGTTCAAACGTCTGCTATATGCGATAGGATGTACGTTTTTTAATACAGCTTCAGGTCTTGGGTAAAAACACGTGTCTCAGCTCTCATTCATCAGGTGAAACAGGCCTTTCTAAATGGCCTCAGGCAAAAAGGCTTTGGAGAAGGCATCAGTTTAAGTTTACACAAATTCTCAGACAGTAAAGTTCATGAGACACTGACAATTCTGTTCTTTCTTTATTATGTGTTCTTTAATTTCACAAACAATAAGCTTCAACTTCTATGTCTGCTTCAGGGTTAGGAACCATCTCAAAATAGTAGTTCATTATTGTGGTTAGGGTGCCACAATAGGACAAAACACCATGTTGTGATTATATTGCTACATATTGTCATTCTTCCAATATGATGAATGATCATATGAATGACTTGATTCGTCCAAAGAACATCTGATTGATTTAGAAAGGCCACAGTAAAACACTCACACAAAATACTGCACTCTGTGATATCACTTTTGCAAAATACTAAAATTTTCTGTGAAAGTGAGATATTCTGCCCGAGGTACCATGGCCCTGGTCTTTTTTTTTTGGTTTGGTTGTTTGGAAGAGAAAATAAATGAGATGTAGTTTTGAGCAAAGTTTGCTGAAGGGAATAGCTTATCACACAGCCTGCAAAGAGCAGGATGGAAGTCAGCAACACATTTTAGTGGGACAAAATTTGGTGGCTGAGCGCAACCCTGACCTCAATCTAAAGTGCTACTGGGTCTGCTTTGGGCTCCTGACTGAAGTTTCTGATGAGACTTTAACAGTGTGCTCTGGGAGGGAAACTGTAATGTTGCAAAACAGCTTATAACATTAGGACATTAAAATGACTATTTTGAGCAGCATGGTGCATACACCCCTCTCAAATGAACTGATGGAAATTAAATTTATTATTAAAGTTTCAGGGGTGTTTGTGACTCCTACGAGAGCACGAGACTTTTCTAACTTTAAAGAAAGAGGTCGTAAATCAAATCACTACAATAATAACTTACTGTACAATCACGGCTGATAAAATCAACATTAAATATGAACGTAATTACATAATGTAAAAGATTTCCTTATACAAGATAACTGCTCCACAGGAATACACGTTAAGGCACGCACTTCTATACAAAACAGAGGAATTTATTAGATATTTTTATTCCGTGTTTCATGCACTAATTTTTATAACTTTTGGGCACTTTTACCCTGAGCTCTTCATTTCTGACCCCACTGAGTGTGGTGTACAGAATATATTAAGAACTTGTGTATGCCAAAAAATTAAGAATTTAAGAAGTATTAAGAATTTGAGGTATAGCAATATCATGGTAATTCATGAATGGCCACATCACCCACATTTACATCTGCCAGGAATTTATTTCTCCAAGTGGGTTCAGTTGATGATGCTGCATTAGCAGCAGTTCAAAAAGATGTAGTGGTGCTTCATGTGACCTGGAGAAAACCCGTGCTGGCCTTAATCCTATCAGTGTTGGTAGCATCCTGTGACTTGGGGTCATCTAGCTAGCGGATGGAATTGGACATGAATAATTTCAGATGAAAACAATATAATCAACAATATAATCAGTTATTTGAATTTTTAGCTCCTTAAAATTGATGTCGGTCACAAAATGTTCATATCTGTGAGGCCCTACTTAATACAAGAAAACAGGCACTGAAACACAAAAATACAACTATCAAACATAAAGCTTATGGTTATGAGTATCTTAACTTTTTTAAATCAGTAATTGCCTTATGACTATAAGCAATGATGACCGGTTTGATATGGTAGCTAGGTGACATAATGACACATCATTAATGCTATATTAACTTCAATACCTTTACATTGTTCTTCAAACTTGTGTGGGAATTTGAGGACATTTACTTCATCAAAAAAGGTTTCATGAACAAAATAATGTCCAAAACAGCAGCTTCCCTCCCTCTCTTTCCTCTCTTTTTGATTTCCCTGAAATCAGCGCTGCTCTGGTTACCTTTGGAGACTTTGCTTTTCACTCTCTGCTGCTTTCTTTCACTTGGCACGGGGAAGAGCTGAGCATCAGCGATCTTAGTACTTCAACTGTAGGGCTCCTCTCTCTCTTTCCATCTCTCTCCCTCTCTCATTTCCCATCTCTCTCTCTATCATTTCCCATCTCTCTCTCTCTCTTAATCATTTCCCATCTTTCTCTCTGTATCATTTTCCATTCTCTCTCTCTCTCTCTCTCTCTCTCCCCCCCCCATCTCTCTCGCCCCCTCTCAGCAGGAGGCTGAATTGCTGAATCAGGCTTGCGCACAGGTCTGAGGCTACAGTCTCCAGGCTCTCCATCACCCTGACAACTCAATAAAAACCCAGTGTAAACTATTAATTGGATCATTAATTATTGACACTGTTTTTACTACGAGCGGCGGGGGGGGGGAAGGCACAGGACGAGAGCGAAAGACAAATGAAACATTGCACGTGTTAATAAAATGAGCATTGATACACAGCCCTCCTGAATGGACCAAAAATAACTTTGCCAATAACAACAAACACTGTCTGGTTTACACCTCGTGGCAGAAAGGAAAACAATGAGGGAAGAACAAATACATTCACTTTAAAATCAGGTACAATTATTTAAAGCCAAGGCAAGTTTGTTAATCTAACATGTTCTATATACTACAAGAATTTAAAGTGTTTCATGTACATAAAAGTACAATAAAAACAAATACAAGACAAATTAGTCTGGATGGAGAGTCCAGACACAACTGCTTAACAGAGGATTCTGAGCTTTAAAATTTGCGCATAAATCAGTCATTGAGATGTAAACTAAAAGTGGACTGATGTGAAGTGGTTTACTGTAGAGAAACATAATGACACAGTGGTCTTTCAAATGAAGTGGTGGTGACAGGAACGACTATAGCCATTTTAGTTTATTTCCAAAACTACCAGGGAACCTACACAAATTTTATATATAATGTAGGAAAAATAGTGACTCGGAACATTTTACCTTCTTCTGTGAATTTGCCATTTTGGGGAGGTTTTGTCCCGACAGCGACAATGTGTTTTGCTTGAAAAATATGACAATCTGTTTTCTTTTCTCACCCTGCATGTACCTCACCACCTGGCACGTAATTTAAGAACACATTTTTGGCTAAATAATGTCTCAGACATCAGACAGCATATTCACATTCATTTTAATATAATAATTTTCTGTGTGGGAGCTTTTCGAAGCATTAGACGCTCTGGACTCCTTGTTCCTATTAGTCATGAACCGCTGTGAACAATTCTAACTGAATGAATTTGTTTACATCTTAACCAATAAATTATGCATAATGTTTCCTTCAAAGTTCATATATGGAATCTCCAAATTACTAACTGGAGGAATCTTTTTTGGCCTTACTATTTTGATTAGCTATTTTTTTAGAAAACAAGCATTTGGGCATTCTCTTGATTTCAGGACGCACTTAAGTCCATTCAATTTTTGGTCAATTCAGTTGATATACTAATATACCTGAAAAATTCCCAGCTAAGCAAAGACATCATCCTGTCTTTTGGTCATTATAAAAGGGAAGAAGCTGATATTTTACTTTAAGATACTGTGTGAATAGAACTAGGGGCAATGCCTGTAGCATATTAAAAGTTTTAATTACTCTCCGTGGCCCCATAATAATAGGTACATTTTCTCATTTAGGACCAATTAATACATTGGCCAGCAGCCTTTTTTATAGTAATAATCAATGTAGAGGTTAAGTCATTTTTTAATCTCTAGATCAAAGCAAAAGTTAAGACACAGGCTATGATCCCACTGCAAAAGTTCGCCCATTTTTGGCCCAAACCAATTCCCATATTTGGCTCTCTGTGCAACAGTGGCAGTGGAGCCACAGCCTGAGTCGAAGCGTGGACCGTCCTAATGAGCCGTGTCTGCATTCATCCTCCGCTTTGCTCTTTCTGCAGCTTTTTCGCTCTTTCTCCTGCTCCGTCTGCACATCTCCTGATCGATACGGAGGAAAACAGAGAGCGAGGGACAAGGCACTAAATCACGGTTCGTTGCCGCACACGACTACAGCTTATTAAACTTCCTGCAAAGCACCCACCACTATCCCAGCATCCCTCTGAGCTGCAGCATAGCTGTATGTGTCAGGCAGCTTACTCAAGTTACATTTTTCTCTCTTTAATACACACTACACTGAGTTCAAGGATAAAGGCTGCAAATAAAATAGGGTGGCATTACAAAACAGTAACCCATTGCTTTGCTCACTTGTATGTATCAGATTTCCATACAATCTATTAGCTTACTTTATGTACCTAAACATTACTTTCAAATCTCTAAAGCTGAAAGCACAAATTCAGCACATTATATAAATAAAGCGAAGTAATTTCAAGTTTTTCTCAGTCCGGAATTCAGTGCAAGCCATAAGCCAATCACT